GGTGGTATGCGTTTGGATGTGAGGCGATTTGCCCACCATTCGTATGTTCTCGCTGCTCCAACGTGGAGGCGTGGAGGAGGTGGATGCACAGCATCAAACAGAAGCACAACCCACACTCTCAGCACATCATGGCGTATGGGCTTGAGGTGGGGAGCATGTGGAGACGTGGGATGTGCTGAGTGCCAAGCGGACAGGTGGAGTGAAGTTGCTGGCATGCCAACATCAAGTAGGATGGAATTGCACAACGGCGCCTTCCAGGTGACCTCAAATGTCGCATTGCCAAACTCTTGTCCTCACATCGGTGGAGTTGGGTGTGTTAGGTACGCACAGTCAGTGGCGCTTGAATGTGGCACACAACTTCACCGCACTTCTCCGTATCTACACCACAACTACTGATGGACTTGAAGAAAAGGCAAGACATGAGAGAGTCGAAAGGAAGGAGGGAATGATGGAGTCAAGGCTGGGAGGCGAAGGAGGTCAATGGGTGTTGAAGATGACGAAAGTGCGTGGAGAAGTTCTCCTTGCACACATCTCTCCATCTCTCCACCACGTGCGCCATCCTTGTTGGCGTAACGGTGGCAGTGTGTCAAATTATGCGCTGCAAGATGGAAGGCTTGGCGGGGCGAGCCCTCACAAGTGAGTAATTGCATTCTGCCTGCAAAGGAAAGGTGTCAGTCGAATTAGCTTTATGATGAATTGGCAAGGAGTAGGGGGAGGCTGTGACAGGTGCGAGCGTATGTAGCGGCTAAGAGAGTTGATTGTGGTGTTTTGCGGGATGGGGAGTGGAGAGTTGGAGCCACGGTGACGGAAAGGGCACTGACAGGAGGTGTTACTATAGCGCATGCATTTGATGGACTCAAGAGTTGAGACGATGATTATTCATTCACTGTGGCAAGTATACTTCTGGAGATGTGAGTAGAGCATTTGTCTAACTCGTGCATGAAATGAAAGGCGGTGCGTTGCAAGTTTGATGATGGGTGAAGGAAAACACTGTGGTACTTGGTAGACCCGCGTGGAGGAGTTTGGTGTAAACAAAAGTTACTCCACCCATAAACGCCTTATTAAATGCACGAGTGCGTTGCTAGTGGCAAACTGTAGACGTGGCACACATGCCAATGAAAGTTGGTGTTTGTGCATCCCCAAATGCACTCTCAA